GTCTTACTAACAGCTACAGTGTCTTCTGCTTCTCCACCAACTGTACTAACTTTCACCCACCAATTATTTTTATATACAGTATATATTTCATGTCTTACAAACGCAATACGACTCGTACCTTTGTATATATATATATATATATATATATATATATATATATATATATATATATATATATATATATATATATATATATATATATATATATATATATATATATATATATATATATATATTATTTTTATTTTTATTTAACGTCCTGTTAACTACTAATTACTTCAATATTATGTGTTTTATTATAGCAGTTATAGTTATGTCTTGTCAGAGTTATTCTTACTCATGCTGACCTTGTAGACGCCAAATATTTTTAACTAGACATAGTGACTATATTTTTTGTGTCCCATCACACTGGTGTATAAAGGATTTTTTTTTTATATTACTTCCAATTTTTGGTGATTTTAGACGCTGTTTGTTGTGAATTAAACAAAGAAATAACAATTTGTGCAGAATAGATAAAAGTAATATCTTCACCTTCACCTCCACCTGTCTTATACAACACTAAATAGTTCTAATGTCGATGTCAAGAGGCAGTATTATTTTTGTCACCTCATTGGGTGAACTTGCTTAATACAAAAAATATAATATTATCACGAGGATTCAGGGTCCCCGTCGCCAGAGACAACTCGGCCTATAATAACTCCTCAAAGAAGGGGATATACTGGTTAGTAAACTCCTCCGAGATGTTGTTGGCAGAAAATAATCTTAATGTTTCGGCCAAAGGCTGTGTTACTGATCATCGACGAGAAACAAATAGCTCTTAAGAGTATACAGTACACTTGTGGCGGTGATGTTGTCACTAACTATCAGTGTAATGGCGTAACAAATGATCATTTTGATGTTTACACTACATCAGTGTGGTGGGGCGACAGGAAGCTTCCATCATGCCTTCTGAACAATGGTTTCTCCTCAACACTTTGCAAAAGCCATCCACTTCCTCTTACCACTAACCAATAGGTGGCGAGAACGAGTGGCCGCCACTACTGCATGTAGTTGCTGTCCTGGTGACTTAACCTTACCCAGCCTAACCCACCCTTCTGCTAACACACCTCTCTCATCCCCTGGACTTCCATTTCCATAAGATCATGCTTTACGTTCCCCCTAAATGAAGATATGAAAGCAAAGTTGACTAACTCATATCAACCAGATCACTACAAAGAACTGAATCGAATCTGAATTAGAGACTGACATGCCTAGACATACAGTATATTCTTATCCCAACATGCGTCTCTGAGATTTAACCTAAATTACTTAGTCAATAGTTCAGTTCTGATCCTATACCTTCCCTGCACACACACTGCTCGCCCGACCTCCCACCCGCCTCCCTCAATGGCATCTTTTACTCGAACGTTCATCTTCATCTCCTTGACGTTTTTTCTTCAAGTTGATTAACGTCTTGTTTTTCTTCCCCTGTTTACCAGACCCAATAATGTCTATCTCCTTCATCGTGTCTGCTATACGAGAATGACCTCGTCTTCACTCACCACATACTTCACCTCTACTTTTTGCACGTAAAGATCTTTCTTCCCTACTCCTCCATGTCAGTAAATCTCGTGATTGAATGAAGTGAAAGAATGATACAGTGAATGAATAATACAATGAGTTAATAATGCAGTGAATGAATAATACAGTGAGTGACTGAATGAGACAGTGAGTGAATAATACTGAATGCTACAGTGAGTATTCACTCACTGTAGCATTCATTCACTATCATTCAAGCCCGATATCATTCATTCACTCACTGTATTATTCATTCACTATCATTCACTCCCGATAGTAAATAATACAGTGAATTAATGAAAATAAATTAATTATACAAAGTGAATGATAGTGAATGCTACAGTGAATGAATGATCGTGGGAGTACCTCACACAAAGTCCTGTGGAGGAGTGTAGAAGGCGCCACTCTATCTATGAATGTGTGTGAGTGAATGAGTCAAGTGGATGAGTGGGCGGTCACTGAGTACCATGAGAGTGATGTCTACAGCAGGGTTCACCCCCATCCCACCATGAACCCACTTTACTCACCCACAAATCCACCCACCTTGCCCAACCATGAACCCACTTTTCCCAACCACCCACCTATATCTCTCCCATCCATCTCGCCTACCCACGATTCCACTTCGCCCACCCATTGGCAATATTTATGTAAGGAAGAGTTCATAAAGTCCATCCTTAGTTGTGTAGTGACGAAAGCTTAAAACACCTGAGAAAGCTTAAAAACACCTGACGAAAGATCAAAAACACCTGACGAATACTTAAAAACACCTGACGAAAGTTTAAAAAGCACCTAAAGAAAGCTTAAAATTACCGACAAAGCTTAAAAGCACCTGATGAAAGCTTAAAACACCTGACATATAGGCTACTGAAAATATATTAAAACAAACTAAAACTCAAACACTCAACAATAGCTCATAGCATCTGACGAAACACCTGAAAAAAAACTCTAATAAAATGTTAAACTACCCAAAGAAATTTGTAAAAAAACACGACCAATTCTTAATACTTTTGACTACACATAAAATCACCAGACAGTACCTCGAACTTAACAGATTAAAACTGACAAAAGCAAAAAAATCTGACGAAGGTTACAAAAAAAAAAGTTTGCAAATGTTAAAAACATCTGAAAAAGCTTACATCTATTGATTAAAGCTTAAACACTTGATACGTTTTAAACGTCTGACACAGTTTAATATATAAGGTGTCTAATGGCCTCTTAAAAAAATTATTAAAACTTAAACCACGTGATAAAAATGAAAAACATTTGACAAACACTTAAAACATGAATTGGATAAAGCCTGGACACATTTTTGCTTTGTTATTGTGATAAACATTTTCATTGACATTAAATACAAATGCCGAGTGTGTTGTCTTGGTGGATCTAATACTAGCTTCTTAGTTTGGGCAATTTTACTTGACTTCAAGAAACCATCACAAAGACGACGAAATTCTGAAATTAAACTAATCCTTGCCCCTCTTCCTCTATTATTACGTGTTCTCCTGTTCAATCCCCTCTTTACTGGATCTATTGTTAGTCCTCGAATTTCATGCTCTATCATTTATTTTCCTCTCTTCACTACGAGGTGTAAAACTGTGAACGCCTTTGTCGTTACCTTTCCCCGCCCACCCACCTGCATCTTGCAGCGCCTGCACTCTAAACTTCTCTACAAGTACTTCACCTTTCCCACGCTTGGTCTCTCACCAGAGCCAACTCCAACGACAAAACTCCTCTGGCTTTGGCTTCAAGAAGTTCTTCAATGAGGTCAAATCTGATATCAAGAGCTTTGTAGCAAATACTGGGGATAGGGAGTAGCGGTGTTGTCAGTGGTGAGTGGTTGCGACACACCAGTCCAGCTGCCGCTGTTGGCTTTATCACGCACTCACGTGGGGACGCCTACGAAGGAACAAGGCCTTGTCATAATCTTCCGGTGAGCTTGTATGGACGAGTCAAAGTTCTGGCATATTATATAGGTTTACCAATAAAAAAAACCATGGAAGAGCTTGCAAGGCCTCGAGTCTGCCGTAGAGTGTCAGTAATCACTGAGTGCGTGCGTGCGTGCGTGCATACACTCATGTGGACACTTACTAAAGATTAAAGTCTGCCATAATTTTCCCCAAGAGTTGAAATGCTGGGTTTTCGCAGATTTTTTAATATAAAGACAAATAGTGAACTATGGGAAGAACCTTGAAGGCTTTGAGTCTGTAGTAAGGGTCAACAACCTTTGCGTGTACCCGAGGACATCCTAGGAGTCCGGCACCAATGTTTGCCTCAGACATCACCTATCACGTCTGCCGTTGCACTGGTCAACTTTGTGTTTTTATTACTGCGTTCAGTGTTTGATGATACTCACATCCTCACGATTGACAGTGCTCATGATCACCTGAGACTATATGTGGGTCATCTGAATAACCGTTCTGTTGAAGTTAACTTTAGGGCGCTTATGGAGAAGTTGTGAAAAGTTTATTTTCATATTAAGAACATCATTTTATTTTCATCATAACTTGGGCTGACCCCTGGACGAGTGGATGACCCACACTGACCTGAGACTCATGTGGTGCACATCCATCATTCCTGTTTCACTCTGATCTTTGTTATATAATCATTCTCATCGTACCATCAACACCTTTTACCTTCATTTTTCAATATATTTGTCCATTATTTCTTTTTAGATGTTTTTTTCACTTGTAATATATAATGACTCAATAACTTATTCATTGAGCATTTATTTCCAGAAAAGTTTTGCTCCTTGTACTGGCTAACACATAGTGAGCTGTGTTTCCCATCTTCTTTACTCTAACTGAGTGCAGTGTGTCCCTTCCACAAAAGTCAGCAGTTAACAGTTAAATCACAAGTTGTGATACCTTATAAGACTGTTACCTAGTACCTTTACCTGTAATGTTGCTTCTGAATAAATACTTTAAATAATAAAGCATTCTCCTATGGATAAGCATACATATTCAGAGATAACGCAACAATCCATACATATAAAGTATACTGTAATCTCAAAGTCAACATAAGATATTTTCATCTTTGAGATAAAACCAAATTCATAACATAATATTTTATAGCTGTCATGGGCACAGTGTAAACAAAGGTAAACATTAAAATTTGCTTGAATGTTAAAGATCATAATTATACAGACGTAAGCGAAGTGGCACACTGATTTTTTTTAATAAATATATATTTTTGCTGTAGTGCTGTGGCAAAGAAGATTCGGATATCCTTCAATCTGTTTTCAGGCTTTGCATGCCAGTTAGCATTTCTTTGTATATATTTGCTATTATCAACCGTAGTTAAAGGTTGTTAGGATTGTTTGCTGGATGCTCTCTTATTTTTTTCTATGCTACTGTGTCTGGTGCCATCAGCGGCAACTCTGCCTCAAACTAATATTGAACTTCTCTCTTGGCCGACGGTGTTGCGGCCATCCCCACCTCAACCAGTAGAACGAGACACACCCTCTTCCCCAGCCCAACACTCTCACCCACACCACCTTAGCTGACGGCAGAGACTCTCAAAACGATGATGTAGTACCTAACGTCACCCCATACGATGGCAGAGACTCTCAAAATGATGACGTGTCTCCTAACATCACCCCAGATGATGGCAGAGGCTCTCAGAATGATGACGTTTCTCCAAACGTCACCGCAGATGATGGCAAAGATTCTCAAAATGACGACGTATCTTCTAACGTCACCCCGGATGATAGCAGAAACTCTCAGAATGATGAAGTATCTCCTAAACTTACTTCAAAAGAAGGCGGAGGCTCTAGGAATGATGAAATACTTCCTAATACCAACACAGATGATGGCAGAGGTTCTCAGAACGATGACGTACAACCTGACGTCACCTTAGATGATGGCAGAGGCTCTCAGAATGATGATGTACTTCCTAATACTAGCACCGATGATGGCAGGGGCTCTCAGAACGATGACGTACAACCTGACGTCACCTCAGATGATGGCAGAGTCACTCAGAATGATGACGTACCACATAACGTCACCTCAGATGATGGCAGAGGCTCTCAGAATGATGAAGTACTTCTTAATGCCAATACAGATGATGGCAGAGGCTCTCAGAATGATGACGTACCACCTAACGTCACCTCAGATGATGGCAGAGGCTCTCAGAATGATGAAGTACTTCTTAATGCAAACACAGATGATGGCAGAGGCTCTCAGAATGATGAAGTACTTCTTAATGCAAACACAGATGATGGCAGAGGCTCTCAGAATGATGAAGTACCTCCTAATACTAACACAGATGATGGCAGAGGCTCTCAGAATGATGAAGTACTTCTTAATGCCAATACAGATGATGGCAGAGGCTCTCAGAATGATGAAGTACTTCTTAATGCCAATACAGATGATGGCAGAGGCTCTCAGAATGATGAAGTAATTCCGAATACTAACACAGATGATGGCAGAGGCTCTCAGAATGATGAAGTACTTCTTAATGCCAATATAGATGATGGCAGAGGCTCTCAGAATGATGACGTACCACCTAACGTCACCTCAGATGATGGCAGAGGCTCTCAGAATGATGAACTAATTCCGAAGACCAGCACAGATGATGGCAGAGGCTCTCAGAATGATGAAGTACTTCTTAATGCCAATACAGATGATGGCAGAGGCTCTCAGAATGATGAACTAATTCCGAAGACCAGCACAGATGATGGCAGAGGCTCTCAGAATGATAAAGTACTTCTTAATACAAACACAGATGATGGCAGAGGCTCTCAGAATGATGAAGTACTTCTTAATGCCAATACAGATGATGGCAGAGGCTCTCAGAATGATGACGTACTTCCGAATACTAACACAGATGATGGCAGAGGCTCTCAGAATGAAGTACTTCTTAATGCCAGCACAGATGATGGCAGAGGCTCTCATAATGAAGTACTTCTTAATGCCAATGCAGATGATGGCAGAGCCTCTCAGAATGATGTCTTATCTCCTAACGTCACCTCAGATGATGGCAGAGGCTCCCAGAATGGTGACGTACTTCTTATTACTGGCACAGATGATGGCAGAGGCTCTGAGAATGGTGACGTACTTCTTAATACCAACACAGGTGATGGCAGAGGCTCTCAGAATGGTGACGTACTTCTTATCACTGGCACAGATGATGGCAGAGGCTCTGAGAATGGTGACGTACTTCTTAATACCAACACAGGTGATGGCAGAGGCTCTCAGAATGATGACGCACTTCCTAATACCAACACAGGTGATGGCAGAGGCTCTCAGAATGATGACGTACCACCTAACGTCACCTCAGATGATGGCAGAGGCTCTCAGAATGATGACGTACCGCCTAACGTCACCTCAGATGATGGCAGAGGCTCTCAGAATGATGAAGTACTTCTTAATGCCAATACAGATGATGGCAGAGGCTCTCAGAATGATGACGTACCACCTAACGTCACCTCAGATGATGGCAGAGGCTCTCAGAATGATGAAGTACTTCTTAATGCCAATACAGATGATGGCAGAGGCTCTCAGAATGATGACATACCACCTAACGTCACCTCAGATGATGGCAGAGGCTCTCAGAATGATGAAGTACTTCTTAATGCCAATACAGATGATGGCAGAGGCTCTCAGAATGATGAAGTAATTCCGAATACTAACACAGATGATGGCAGAGGCTCTCAGAATGATGAAGTAATTCCGAATACCAGCACAGATGATGGCAGAGGCTCTCATAATGAAGTACTTCTTAATGCCAATGCAGATGATGGCAGAGCCTCTCAGAATGATGTATTATCTCCTAACGTCACCTCAGTTGATGGCAGAGGCTCTCAGAAAGGTGACGTACTTCTTATTACTGGCACAGATGATGGCAGAGGCTCTGAGAATGGTGACGTACTTCTTAATACCAACACAGGTGATGGCAGAGGCTCTCAGAATGGTGACGTACTTCTTATTACTGGCACAGATGATGGCAGAGGCTCTGAGAATGATGACGCACTTCCTAATACCAACACAGGTGATGGCAGAGGCTCACAGAATGATGACGTACCACCTAATGTCACCTCAGATGATGGCAGAGGCTCTGAGAATGATGAAGTAATTCCTAATACCAACACAGGTGATGGCAGAGGCTCTCAGAATGATGACGTACCACCTAATGTCACCTCAGATGATGGCAGAGGCTCTCAGAATGATGAAGTAATTCCTAATACCAACACAGGTGATGGCAGAGGCTCTCAGAATGGTGACGCACTTCCTAATACCAACACAGGTGATGGCAGAGGCTCTCAGAATGATGTTTTACCTCCTAACGTCATCTCAGATGATGGTAGAGTCTCTCAGAATGATGACGTACCACCTAACGTCACCTCAGATGATGGTAGAGGCTCTCATAATGATGAAGTACTTCTTAATACCAACACAGGTGATGGCAGAGGCTCTCAGAATGATGAAGTACCTCCTAATACTAACACAGATGATGGTAGAGGCTCTGAGAATGGTGACGTACTTCTTAATACCAACACAGGTGATGGCAGAGGCTCTCAGAATGATGACGCACTTCCTAATACCAACACAGATGATGGCAGAGGCTCTCAGAATGATGAAGTATCTCCTAATACTAACACAGATGATGGCAGAGGCTCTGAGAATGGTGACGTACTTCTTAATACCAACACAGGTGATGGCAGAGGCTCTCAGAATGATGACGCACTTCCTAATACCAACACAGGTGATGGCAGAGGCTCTCAGAATGATGACGTACCACCTAATGTCACCTCAGATGATGGCAGAGGCTCTCAGAATGATGAAGTAATTCCTAATACCAACACAGGTGATGGCAGAGGCTCTCAGAATGATGACGTACCACCTAATGTCACCTCAGATGATGGCAGAGGCTCTCAGAATGATGAAGTAATTCCTAATACCAACTCAGATGATGGCAGAGGCTCTCAGAATGATGAAGTAATTCCTAATACCAACTCAGATGATGGCAGAGTCTCTCAGAATGATGACGTACCACCTAACGTCACCTCAGATGATGGTAGAGGTTCTCGGAATGATGAAGTACCACCTAACGTCACCTCAGATGATGGCAGAGGTTCTCGGAATGATGAAGTACTTCCTAATACAAACACAGATGGTATCAATGATAAAAACATTTCTGTACCTGTAGCTATAAATGCTGAACAAATGAAGGAGAAAACGCCTGAAGATCTTGACACAACGAACCAGAAACTGACTTCCGAAGAGTCACAAGATGTCAACTCCAGTGATTTAGAGGCAAATGGGAATAATTTCAGTTCAACAGCCAGCCTAAACCAGGAGAGAGACGCTGGAAGACAGTCTATTGACATCGAAACTTGGGACTATCCTTTAGTGAAGTGCACCAGTACGCCTGCAGAAGACAGTGTACCCAAAGAAACCGTAACAGCAAGCGTGGCCGAGCTTCAAGAATATGACGACTATGGAAAACAAAATTCTGAAACTAGCAAAATTTATCTTGATGATTATGACAGTAAAGAAAATAGATTCGTGAGTGACGGTAGTGGAAACAAAGTAGGAGAAAATGAAAACAATAGAGGAGAAAAGGGAGATACTGAGAATGAAGCAGAGGGAACGGCAGTAAATTTTAAAGACGAGCTGATAACGACCCAGGATGTTGTTTCTGAGAAAGATGAAGACAATGGCGGAGATAAAGGAGAAGAATCTGTCAAAGAGAAAATCTCTCCTCATTCATATGTCACCATCACCGATGACAGTGAAGAAAATTATGAATCTTCGCAAATAAATGATAGAAATGATCCACCAGATAGCAATAAGGAATTCGAATATATATATGGAGCTGTATACAGCGAGGAAGACAAGGAAGACCCCCCAAACAACGACTACGACTTTTATGGAAATAATACCGATTCAGAATCTCCAAAAGATCGAGTTTCTCCCGCAGCCTCTGTTAGTAAAGAACGTGTGGATGACATATTAGCGAAGAGCAGCATTCCTCAAGAGGAAACCGAAACTGGACGTGGTTCTTCGAGTAGCGTTACCACCTCCCAAACTGACCAAGGCGATAGAGAGCTTCCCCAAATAATTATTGATGCAAATGGTGATATAAATGAAAATTCTGCAGACTCCAAAAACAGTGGTGTCCCAATAACGGTTGACGACGAGGAAACGAGGGTACGAGTGGACACTCTTGAGGACTCTGAAAGTACCAGTGTCCATACAGCGTCTGACGAGAAATTTAGGACACCAGTGGACAAAGATGTTCTCAACTCAGAGAACTCTAAACGAGAAGATGAGGAGGACGATGGTACACAAGAAGCCAGGGAAGTAATAGATGTATATAAAGACAAGAATAAAACAAGGGATACGACAGGTGAAGGAAACAAAACGTTAGATGTTGAAGAAATCACGACAGGTAGTGAAGCCAATGACATGACAGACTTCGGAGTCAAAGAATCACAAGAAAATAGAGACGAAGACTCAACAGGAGTTCAAGCCAAAACATCGCTAGATATTAGAGATGAAGATATGACGAACGTTAACAATATAGACGCAATAGGTGTTGAAGAAAAAGACACATCAGATGTTACAGAAAAACAAGACACGACAGATGGTGAAGGCAGAGAGATGACTGGTGTTGAAGACAAAGATACGGCAGACAGTAAAGACAAAGATAGCACCGATATTTGTATGACATATGATGAAAACAAAGATAGGACGGGTAATGAAAACAAAGATGGTGTAGGTGTGGAAAACGGAGTCATGATTGGTGCTGAATTCGCTGAAGACAAAAACATTACAGATGTTGAATACAAACATAATGAAGGCAAAGATATGACAATTATTGACGACAAAGGAATGGTGAATGTTGATGACAAGGATGCAAGAAAAATAGAAGGAAGAGACTTGACAGATGTTGAAAACAAAGACACACCAGACGATGAAAACAATGACATGACGGATGTTAAAAACAAAAATGAAATTCATGGTGAAATCGATGCGAGTGACAACGAATATGAGGGGAGTGACGAGTGCAAAAAAACAGGAGTGGAGAGGAGCAAAGACCGACCCCTATCAGGAAGCTCCTCTTGTTCCTGTTCTCGGGCATCTGAGAAAGAGGACAAACAAACTCAGTACGAGAAAAGCGACAAGAAGAAAGACAAGGCCACGAAGGAAAGTCCTGAGGAAGAAACTATTGGGTTCACATACACGGACAACAGATCAGGCGTGGAGACTGTGGGACGATTCAGGCAAGATTACCACCAAGCTATTTCGGATATCATACACTCGACTGCCATAGAGGGAAGCCAGTCTCTGGATCTGCACGTGATGGCAAATGATAACAGGGACACGAATCCTACAGAACTTATTCCAGGAATGTAGGAAGGTGTCGGTGGCAGTGGTATTGTGGGCGACTCCTGCTGGTGGAGGTGAAGGAGAGTGTGTTGTCACCACCCGCACCTGCTCTGTTGCATGGTGGTCCAGTGGACACCTGGTAGCCTTCAGTTACCCTAAATGTTAAAAGATTAAATGTACCAAATGCACCCTAGATGAAATGGCCATCAAAGCAAATCAGAATCACTCGCGTCACATTAAGGTTACAGATGAAGAAATAATGAAAAGTTGCATTTGCTTTAGCTTTCTGATCACCAACAGCTGCCTGTTATGCTTCGAAAGGTTTATTTACAACAATAAGTTTTAGGCAAAAACAATATACGTTGAAAGCACTTGTTTACCAGCCCAAGCACCAAGTCCTTCAAGAGTCCCCCTGAAACACAAACTATGAACAATAGCTTTCTCTCCCCCTTCACAAGTGATTCTTTCTGTGTCTCGTCTTTATTTTGCTATACCTCAATAGTTTGATTAAAAAGCATGATAATTGTCGTTCCACGAGTGAGAAGTGTACTTTCCTTGCTCCAAGCTGTAAATACACTATTGTTATTGTCCTAGGTAAGTGTGAGCGTCTGTGTTCCTCGTATCACTGTGTTGCTGTTGTCGCATGTGTGTAGTTCTTTGTTTCACCTGCATGATTGTGACAAGTGAACTGTTGTATACCTCCCCGTCTTATTCCACAAATCCAATGATTATGATGTTAAAATATTATATTGTCGTATCTGAGTTTTTCATTGTGATAAATTTGATATATAATGTAATTTCAGTAGATATATATTTGAATTTTTACATTACAAGAAGTAGCATATCGTTTCAATTAAAGATTAAACATTAAAATTTCATATTTTAGCCAATAACTATGTAGAGAAATTGATAAAAAAAATCAGTTAAGATTCAATAGTCCCTTTTTCAGCACAACCAATTATTATGATGCGCTGCGAAGACCAATAATCTGATTTCTATTACTGAAAATACTTTCAGGCAACAAACAAACCAGAGAATGAGGAGGAGGAACTTGCGCTAGCAGCTACCAAAATTCAGGCTAGTTTCCGTGGACACCAAACAAGACAGGCATTAAAGACCGGAGACTTACAGGAAAAAGTGCAAGAACCCGAAGAAAAGTCTACTGAAAAACATGAAACAGAAGATATGAAATTAGAAGACCCAAAGCTTCAAGAAGCCGCCACAGTAATACAGTCTCATTATCGCGGATTCAGGACTAGGCAAAATCTAAGAGGTGTCGAGACTCAAGCAAAACCTGACATTGGAAGGCCCAAACCTACAAGACCACTGCTTCAAAATACATGCTTATGATACAATCATCGTTTGGCGTTGCGACAGGAAAAAAATTGTTCCACAAAAACTGATGATGTTATACAAGTAGACCTCAGCGACCCTGACATTCAAAAAGCAGCTACGTTAATACAATCTGCTTACCGGGGTTACCATACAAGAAAAAAGATTAAATATTTCCACGGGAAAATAAATGTCATTTCGTGATTTTAATGATCCTGAGTTTCAAAAAGCAGCCACAAAAATTCAATCAATTTTCAGAGGATTCAGAACCAGGAAAATCTTGAAAACTACACAATCGCAAGGAGAGGAAGATACAGGTGCTAAAGATGAGGAGAATCTGAAGAAATTGACATAGATCTCAATGACCCTGAAGTACAGAAAGCAGCTACCAAGATCCAGTCTTCATATCGTGGTTTCAAAACTAGCCTCCTGAATGATTCTGGGGCTGAAGGTGAAGAAAACCGAAATTGACATAGATCTCAATGACCACGGAAGTACAGAAAGCAGCTTCCAGGAATCAGTCCCTATCTTGGTTTCAAAACTGAAAACAGCAGAAGTGGTTCTGGGACTATAGAACAAAAGAAAACATTGAAAGGGTGACACAGTCTCAGCCCGTACAGAGTACAGCAGCTACAAGATCCAGTGCTATTATCGTGGTTTCAAAACTAGAAAACATCGAATGATTCTAGGGCTGAAAATTGAAAGAAAAACGTGAAGAGTGTTTTTAGATCTCAATGACCTGAAGTACAAGCAGCTTCAAAGTCCAGTCTTCGCCTTGTGGTTTCCAAAAACTAAAACATGGGAATGGTTCTGGGACTATAGAACAGAAAACATTGAAGAGGTAGCATGAATCTCAATGGCCTGATACAGAAAGCAATACCAAGATCGATGCTATATCATGGTTTTCAAAACTAAAACAACTGAATGATTCTGGGACAATAGAACAAGAAAACTATTGAAGAAATTGACATAGATCTCAATAGCCCTGGAAACAGAAAGCAGCTACCAAGATCAGTCTTCATATAATGGTTTCAGCTGAAAACATCTAGACGTTTACAGGGGCTGAAGGTAGAAAACAGTAGAAGAAATTGACGCAAGATCTCAGCGGCCTAAAGTACAGAAAGCAACTACCAAGATCGATGCCATATCATGGTTTCAAAACTAGAAAACAGCAGAATGATTCTGGGACAATAGAACAAGAAACATTGAAGAAATTGACATAGATCTCAATGACCCTGAAGTACAGAAAGCAGCTACCAAGATCCAGTCTTCGCTGCAATGGACAAAACTAGAAAACATCTGAATGATTCTGGGGCTGAAGTAGAAGAAAACATTGAAGAAATTGACATAGATCTCAATGACCCTGAAGTACAGAAAGCAGCTACCAAGATCCAGTCTTCATATCGTGGTTTCAAAACTAGAAAACAACCAGAATGATTCTGGAACAATAGAACAAGAAAACATTGAAAATTGACGCAGATCTCAATGACCTGAAGTACAGCTACCAAGATCCAGTCTTCATATCATTGGTTTCAAAAGTAGAAAACATCTGAATTCAGATTCTGGGGCTGAAGGTAGAAAACATTGAAATTGACATAGATCTCAATGACCTGGAAGTACGAAAGCAATACCAAGATCCAGTCTTCATATAAACGTGGTTTTCAAAACTAAAGAAAACATGAAATTGATTCTGGGACTATAGAACAAAAGAAAACATTGAAAGAAATTGACGCAAGTCTCAATGACCTGAAGTACAGAAAGCAGCTACAGATCAGTCTTCATGTCATGGTTTCAAAACTAGAAAACAGCAGAATAGTTAGGACTATAGAGACAAAGAAAACATTGAAGAGAATTAGCCTGATCTCCAACTGACCTGAAGTACAAGCAGCTACCCAAGATCCAGTCTTCATATCGTGGTTTTCAAAACACGAAAACAACAGAATGGTTGGACAATAGAACAAAGAAAACATTGAAGAATTGACATAGATCTCAATGACCTGAAGTACAGAAAGCAGCTAGATCAGTCTTCATATCGTGAACCAAAAGTAAACATCTAAGATTCAGATTACAGGCTGAGAAGGTGAAAACATTGAAGAGAATTGTATAGATCTCAATGACCTGAGTAAGAAAGCAGCTACCAAGATCCAGTCTTCATATTGGTTTCAAAACTGAAAACAGCAGAATGATTCTAGGACTATAGAACAAGCTATTGAAGAAATTGACATAGATCTCAATGACCTGAAGGCTACAGAAGCTACCAAAGATCCAGTCTTCATATCATGGTTTCAAGTAAAACATCTGATTCAGATTCTGGGGCTGAAGGTGAAAACATTGAAGTGACATAGATCTCAATGACCTGGGGAAATTGCAAAAGCAGCTGCAAGATCAGTCTTCATATCGTGGTTTCAAAACTGAAAACATCTGAATTCAGATTGGGGCTGAAGGTGAAGAAAACATTGAAGAGAATTGACATAGATCCTCAATGACCTGAAGTACAAGCAGCTACAAGATCCAATCTTCATATCATGGTTTCAAAACTAGAAAACAACAGAATGATTCTGGACTATAGAACAGAAAACGATGAAAGATGACATAGATCTCTCAATGACCACCATTGAAAGCAGCTACCAAGATCAGTCTTCATCGTAGTTTCAAAGTAGAAAACATCTGAATTCAGATTCTGGGCTGAAGGTGGAAAACTTATTGAAAGAAATTGACATAGATCCTCAATGACCTGGAAGTACAGAAAGCAGCTACAAGATCCGATCTTCATATCATGGTTTCAAAAATGAAAACATCTGAATTCAGATTCTGGGGCTGAAGAGTGGAAAACATTGAAGAATTATTGCAGATCTCAGCCCTGAAGTACAGAAAAGCAGCTACCAAGATCCAGTCTTCATATCGTGGTTTTCAAAACTAGAAACAGCTGAATGATTCTGGGACTATAGAACAAAACGACCCGACGAGGGTGACATAGATCCTTAATGACCCTGAAGTACAGAAAGCAGCTACCAAGATCAGTCTTCATATCGTGGTTTCAAAACTGAAAACATGAAATGGATTCTGGGACTATAGAACAAGAAAACATGAAGAGAATGACATAGATCTCAATGACCTGAAGTACCAAAGCCAGCTACCAGATCCAGTCTTCATATCGTGGTTTCAAAACTAGAAAACAGCTGAATGGTTCTGGGACAATAGAACAAGAAAACATTGAAGAAGTCGACATAGATCTCAATGACCCTGAAATTACAGAAAGCGCTTAGATCCAGTCTTCATGTCGTGGTTCCAAAGCTAGAAAACAGCAGAATGGTTTCTGGGACTATAGAACAAAGGCTTATTGAAGAATTGACATAGATCTCAATGACCCTGAAGTACAGAAAGCAGCTACCAAGATCCAGTCTTCATATCGTGGTTTCAAAACTAGAAAACAGCTGAATGATTCTGGGACTATAGAACAAGAAAACATTGAAGAAATTGACATAGATCTCAATGACCCTGAAATTACAGAAAGCAGCTACCAAGATCCAGTCTTCATATCGTGGTTTCAAAACTAAAAAACAGCTGAATGATTCTGGGGCTGAAATTGAAGAAACGTGAAGAATTGACCTGTAGATCTCAGCTGACCTGGAAGTGAAAGCAGCTTCAGATCAGGTCTTCATATCGTGGTTTCAAAACTAGAAAACAGCTAGACTGATTCTGGGCTGAAGGTAGAAAACGATGAAAGAAATTGACATAGATCTCAATGACCTGGAAGTTAGAAAGCAGCTTCCAAGATCAGTCTTCATATCGCGGTTTCAAAACTAGAAAACAGCTGAATGATTTTTAGGGCTGAAGGTGAAAAACGATGAAGAAATTGACATAGATCTCAACCCGACCTGTTGAAAGCAGCTTCCAGATCGATCTTCATATCGCGGTTCCAAAACTAGAAAACAGCTATGAATGATTCTGGGGCTGAAGGTGGAAAACGATGAAGAGTCGGCACTTAGATCTCAGCCAGCCCTGAAGTACAGAAAGCAGCTACCAGATCCGATCTTCATATCGTGGTTTCAAAACTAGAAACAGCAGGAATGATTCTGGGACTATAGAACAAAGAAAACATTAAGGGTGACACAGATCTCAAGCTGGCCCTGAAGTACAAGCAGCTACAAGATCCAGTCTTCACTGTTTCAAACTAGAAAACAACCAGAAATGGTTCTGGGACAATAAGACAAAAAAAAAACGCCCCAGAAGTGTATAGATCTCAATGACCTAAATTACAGAAAGCAGCTGCAAGATCCAGTCTTCATATCGTGGTTTCAAAACTAGAAAACAGCTGAATGATTCTGGGGCTGAAGGTGAAGAAAACATTGAAGAAATTGACATAGATCTCAATGACCCTGAAGTACAGAAAGCAGCTTCCAAGATCCAGTCTTCATATCGCGGTTTCGACTAGAAAACAGCTGAATGATTCTGGGGCTGAAGGTGGAAAGGAAACGATGAAGAGAATTGACACTGAATCTCAGTGATATTTGAAGTACAGAAAGCAGCTACCAGATCTGATCTTCATATCGTGGTTCCAAACTAGAAAACAGCAGAATGGTTCTGGGACAATAGAACAAGAAAACATTGAAGAATTGACATAGATCTCAATGACCTGAAGTACAAAAAGCTGCCTGTGATTTGATCTTCATTCCACAGTTTTTAAAGCCAATAAAATGTATGTGATTCAAAGTATGAAATTGAAGAGGACATAACGAAATAGATCTCAATGACCCAGAGCTCAGTTAGATCTGGGCAGGAACTATCAAGAAAGTCAGTAAAATTCATGACTACGAAAATAATAAGGAGGTCTGAAACTGTAACAAAAATACAAACGGTATCAGAGGTATTCAGCAGAAATACAGACAGAGAAATAGAACTGAACGAAAAAACCCCACTGTAAAAAATGATAATTCAGATGAAAATGGAAATCATAGCGCGCTTTTATAAGACCAAAATAATCATAACTTCATTACGAACCTGACAGCAACAATTTCAAACATTAGACAAAACTTCCTCAGATGGTGAAGAGGATAAGAACACCTTGGAAGTGGCACACGGAGACAGTGATTGGTTCAGTATCTCCAGTCGAGTGCCCAGTCCCTCTCTCGAGAATGGTCGGAGTTTAACTGGTCCAGGTAAACGAGAACTAAATCAAATGCAGCCTATAAAATACAAAATTCTTCAAAGGGTACCAGACTAAGGCGTCTTATCCAACGTATCCCACAAACGGACCAGCCAGAAAAGAAGAAGAAATTCGATGAGTTCCGCGCAAAGAGAAAGGGCAGCCACAAAAATCCAAAGCAACAGTTTTCCGAGGGTATAAAACGAAGTAATCAAAAGACCTTCGTCGGAACCTTCATATCAAAGCTTGCCACACGGTATGAAACGCCAACGGAAGAATCTGGAAACAGCACAAACAGAAGCTAGAAGTCTGACGCGGGATGCAATGACAGCAAGTGTGCTTAAGGAACGCATGCATGACACACATAGCCTGCCAGATGACCCCACTCTATTAAAATCTGTCGTCAGAATACAAGCCGGGGTCCGCGGGTATCTTACGAGGAAACGTATGGCGGACCAGAGAAGAGGCTCAACCTTGAATTCCCATAAAAGTTTAAATAGGGGGCAGCTCACTCTAAGTGTTGCTGCCACAAAATTCAAGAAGCTGGGGATACAAAACTCGCAAGGCTTTAAGGGAAAACGCTGACGCAAGCGTCGATGCCAATGACCCATGGTAGTTCTCTGGCAGTGGTGAGGATCCAAGCTGCCCTGCGCGGTCACCTGACAAGAAAAGAACTGCAGGGCTTCTTAAAAATAATTAATAAAATTTATCTCTTATTTACCCCTGAGCTTTATAAATTGATTACTTAAACAATAAAGTCGAATCGAGTTTTCATTCTATTCCAGCTGTATCTTCCTCTGGTTCAGCCTAGACCCTTTGTAGTTAACCAAATAATTGATTTTAAAGGTTATTGTATCACCCATAGCGGCCAGTTTCAAGTATAACTATTCAGAATCCGAATAGATATTTTTTGACATCATTTACCCACCCATTGATGGGTTATATATGGCGTCACCTTGACTATTTTTCATTTTGACTGTAATAATGTAAAAAGGTCCAACCATACCATATAATATAAAATGTATGTCTATGCACCGGTTAGAAATTATCTATTTTTACTAGCAATCAGAAATTAAGTATTGGAAAATATTCATATAATGTAAATCAATGAATTATTTAGATACATGTACACATACCAGTATATCATAGACTTGGCACATTTATTATATCAGACTGCAAGAGAGCTTTCATAAAGTATTTAGAGGTGTACTGTATTACTACAGAACTGCTTGAATAAACGAATACTCATTAAAATTTTATTTTTCACCATAAATCCAAATATAAAATACTAAGAAAAAAAAAAATACATGGTATGTTTATTGCATGAAAAATACATATACATATACATCTCTCACTTTTTGACATTAGTATGTAAAATCAACATGATTCACTGCGAACTAAAAAAAACATTCAGTGTCGAGGTACAGACAGAGCCTGATGCTTACCACAGTAGAACCTCATATCATATTGTTTCCTGAAAACATCAAGGGACCATTTACGGAATTAATACCAATTTATACTCTTAATTGGGCAAGTAACTTTCCTCGTAGCATCATCATCACACTGAACCATTCAAGGTGTGAAAAAAATCATAGAGCATGCAAATAAACTAAGACTTGAACCAACAGCCTCATCGTTCCCCAACAACTAATACTAAGCCCCGAGTATTTGCTTCTGCATAGCCTGGTTAACACCGTGTGGCCCAGGTCCCCACAATTGACATCAAAGAACCGAGGAGCATTACTCTTTGCAGTAGTCTGATGAAGTCTTCTAGCAATTTCCTCTGCCCTGCATGACATGGATGATATGCTGTAAATGTCTCTTTTATTACGTGATGACAGGTTGGGTTAGGCTAGGTTTTTCTTTCTTTTAATAATTCTCGTTTTTCTTCTTAATTTGAAATTACGTTAGAAAAGTCATGTAACCTGATATATGAGAGTCGTTAGGTTTGGTTCTGTTATATTTCTTTTGTTTGTCTCGTTTTTCGTTAGGTTATGTTTGGCAAAAAGTGATTCCTTTACTATTTGTTTTGAATGTTACTGAAAATAAAATGTTAAAGAATAAAGTTAAGGTTAGAATTGCGAACACGGTCCTTCACTGACCTCACTCTTGTAAATACACGCTGTGAAACCACTTCAAAATTGATCAGGTTACCTTAAATTTTGAAAGATTTCCTTTATCGAAGAAAAAAAACTGCGGCTGCTGAAAGCTTGCAATACTAATTGAATAAACACCATACACATATTGTATACACTGTACATACCATCAAAAGTTTGTCAGTAAATCTTATTATAATCTTTTAGTTTGGTTCGTAATTGGTCCCCGTATTGCTATCAAAACTGATTCTTCAATTCTCTGGAACGATAACAAACGGACAATCTACTGTCATTCCACAGGACATTGCATCACTTACAAGGTATTGTGACTGGTAGCCTGAGAAACAGATTGCAGCCAAGATAAAATTGGCACACTGAAGAAATTTATAATTTCAGATATAAACGAAAGTTTTATTTGTCTCTGACTAGTGGCGCAAAAAGTAGATACATGACTCCGGAAAAATATTCCATTATTTTAAGTCATCCTACTCAAACCAGACTCTTACAGCACCTTAAGTGTGGAAATTCGGCTCATAAACACTACCAAACGTCCTTTATACTGTGCCCACATACGTCCCAACGAGAAGTTACGCCTTTAATCTTCCGCCTAGAAAATGACTCCCCTTAAAGTTGCGCAACGACACCTCTATACTGTAGTCCAGAATCGTGTACCTGCATTGAAAAATATACTCCTGTCTCTGCTGACATATTAGTCTCCACAGAACTTTAAAAAAATGTGTTGCTGCCTTAACAACAGGAAGACAATTTCAGTGAAATAACATAACCTGCCCCAAGCTGACAGCTGACTGTGATTTTATCAAGATTCATCTTATCCACGTTTTCGTGTGGATCTACATAGAATATATATATATATATATATATATATATATATATATATATATATATATATATATATATATATATATATATATATATATATATATATATATATATATATATATATATATATATATATAAAAAATAAAAAGGAAGTTTGGCACACCACCTCAGAAAAGATATATTACAAAATATGAACTGACCAGAATGGGGCGGTGACCTGATTAATCATAGAATGATTCCTAGCTAATAATAATTTATTATCAGACATCACAAAAAGCGAATATGCACCATATAAATCACCACGGATATAGAGACAGTAAATGAGCCTTGTTCAGACTGTGTGTTAACAATGCTGAATGAATTTAATAAATTCAGTTTTTAACCAGAATAATATATGATAATTAGTTAAAGATTTTTTCATAAATAATTTTGTTCCATAATGTGAATGAGATGTTCATAGTAAGAGCAGCAGTAACCCAAGTGGATCATATATAAATGAAACACCATATACATAATTATATATGAGCACCACATGGAGGATCGTGCCACTACACCAGGAGTCCACTGTGGCACCTCACCATGTGACTCATGGGTCAAGAAGAGTTTCTGGCAGAGTTGGTGCCACTAACACAGCCCCACGCTATGAAGAAAGAGAAAATGTGAAACTGAAAGGTAAAATAGCAACACACACACTAATGTGCGTGTGTGTGTGTGTGTGTGTGTGTGTGTAAAATAGGGATAAATGTCCCAATATGCCTTAAAACGCAATAACTGTTTTGCCAAACAATCACATTTTGTCCTTAATGTTTAAAGGAATGAAAAGTAGTATTCACGTGGAAAAATTTGGCGTTTGCTATCTTAACCAAACTTTACCGAAACAAGGTTAGGTTAGGTTAGGTTAGGTTAGGTTAGGTTAGTAATTATCTTATTCATTTACTGCATTTATAGTTTGTATTATCTTTTATATATATATATATATATATATATATATATATATATATATATATATATATATATATATATATATATATTGAAATTCCGCATTAAAAATTAGAAATTGTCGCTATTTCGCACTTATCCCTGTTTAGTGTGACAAAGTGGGAGAGAGAGACAGAGGACAGGGTGACCCAGGGTACCATGCAAGGTGTGTGCCAGCGATGGGTGCCACCGAAAAGAAGGGGTTCAAGTTGAAAGAATACACAACACTTATGAGCAGCGTGTGATGATCCAGCTAACAGTAGCTGCCGAACCAACATTCTAGATTCGCGGAGCAGCCGTTACAGTAGCCGCAGGAGCAGTAAGTGCCGGCCCCACACTCACCGTTCTCCGACCACTCACCCCCACACGCCTCACCCGGGCCCTGTAGCACGAGAAACATGGTGATAATAATGATCATAATGATATAAACAATTATAATAATTTCCTTATTTTACAAAAATAGCATAACAAGAACCACACGAAGTTGGTGAGTAAAAAACACAAGTAATATCTAACATACACAATATACAGTACATCAATCTTTAAAACAAGTTCGAGATTCATTAATTCAGCTTTGAACGTTCAAAATTTTTAACCCTAAAAGATGTGATTATACACGTAACAAGATCACTTCCGCTTTAACAGAATGATAATGGCCAAATAGTGTTGAATTTGCTCTTAAACTCCCCTCTAATTATTTATCTTTCGGCTTAAATTCATTTACACGAAGAGGCAAAAGTCCCTTTACACGCCTGAGACTCGAAACTTATGACCAAGTCTCCGAACTGCTTGTTTACCCATGAATGATATTGTACCATTGGGGTTTTGTACAGATTCAAACTAGAGTGTAAAGTAAATTTTGATTTTTAATGTATTTATACCTTGATAATTTGCACACACACACACACACATACACACACACACACCAGGAATCAAGCATGACGATCATCCAGCAATGACACAATAATATGAGTTATTAGTGATGTTATCTTCATTGGTGAGCTCCGAAGTGGCTATAGAGGCCGATACGGGACCGGCAGGGCCGTCCGCACATCTAATGCGGGAGGGGCGGCGGCAGTGTCTTTCCAGCGCTGGGGTTTGTCTGCTTCGGTATTGCGTCGGGCTAACTCGAAAGTATTGATACCTTCTTGTGTGGTGCTCCTTCAAGCGTTGCGGTTCAATTACAATTTACCCCGCGATGGGGCTAGTTTATTGGGCACACCAAGCATTATGGTGTGGAGTGATCGTCTCCCAGGTGATGGGGTCGGATCGATTGAGCACCTTTTCAGGTTCAAACACACACACGCACACTGGCACCTGTACCGCACATCCTGAGTTACACACATCATACTCTAAAACTGACAAGTCATATTCTGATTTACTCACATTTCATCCTATGTTAGACGTTTTAACTTAAGCACATGAATTAAATTCACGAGTCAGAGATCTGGCAGTTGCGAGAACAGCCCCTTCTCTATGAGGGTTTTATTAATATATGCATATTTATGTAACAAAATACACACCGACGAAAATATAAGAATTCTGTAAAGAAATCTTGATATTTCACTAATAGTAGAGTTCCGGTTGTTGAATGTTTGTCAATATTTTGTCATCGCTGATCGCCCTAATGCTAGTGATTGCCCTACATTAATAAGTCCTAGATCCGCCAGTGAGTGAGTGACTGAGTGAGTGAGTAACTACCTTGGCACACACGGAGCCACCGCACCAGTCCACCACAGTGCCGTACTTGCAGTTGTTGGCTGGTAATCTGTTGCCTCCTTGGTTGCATCTTGGTGCTGCACCAGTCTCACTGTGGACCATAATTCAATGTTTTACAATATTACCACAAAATAAAAATTAGGATAAACAAGAACAGCAGAGAATTATGTCTACTGTACTTTACAGTAAAAGAACACTGAAGTCTGATACACTCAAAAATGCTGATGACACAGACCCATGCAAAGGACCCAAATGAAAATAAGTGTATGATAGCTTTGAATCTATCTATCTATCTACGGCAAAACATACACCAATACCACCGTACTTTAGGTGTGAACTCTTGTCTCTAAATATAGGGAAATAAAGGAGAACAAGAAGTGGTCATAAGCTGTGTTGAATGAGTAAATTACTCTCAGAAGAAAGAAAACATCAGCTATAAATCAAAGTAAATAAGTTAGATAGATATATTGATAGACAGATAGATATTCGCTAAATCATATTCAACATGAATAATACAGGTATACAATGTACAGTGAGAGAGAGAGAGAGAGAGAGAGAGAGAGAGAGAGAGAGAGAGAGAGAGAGGATTAAATTGAAACAGTTAATTTTGGTTACAGTAGAGAGATAATGAGAGATAGCCATGTAAAATAAACAAACAGTTAATTTAGGTTACAGAAGAGAGAGCCAAGATGACGCAGCGAAAGACTTACTGTACTTGATGTATCATGATAATTCACATGTTTACTTTACTTGAAGTGACTCAGAGATCCTGGTAAGATAAAGAGGATCTATCTATTCTATTTCTGACTTATATCTGTGGCCGAATTCTCAAAGGATCGTAAGGTAATATTTTGGGGGGTGTCATGTTAGTTCTACAATTTTAGTGAACAAGTTTGATGCATTTCCACCGGTGTCATTTAGTGTTGGTTAGGTTAAGTTACATTAGGTTGGGTTTGGTTAGGTTATATTATTGGTAGGTTAAGTTCCGTTGGATTTAGTTATATTATGTTAGGTTAGGTTACAATAGGTTAGGTTAAGTAAATCTTAAATACTCACTTGACGATGACGATGACCACAATAACGGCGATTGAGGTGACGAAGCCCAGTGATCTCATGATGGTGGTGGTGGTGGTGACGGAGTCTGTGATACTCTGAAGTGGAGTGGTAGTGGTGACCTTAGTGGTTGTGGTGGTTGTGATGGTTACTGAGGAGGAAGATTATGGTTTAAGTTTATTCGCAATAGTAGTAGTAGTAGTAAGTTTACAACCACACTGTACAGATTAGTAGTGCCCGGATTAGGGACCCGACAAGTAATTTTTCACGTCCATGTGCCCAGCATGCACTTGCCTGGCGGACAAGCTAATATTTTGAGAATAAAATGCCTAGACGGAAAATTGCTAGGTGCTGCGTGACCTGACCTCACCTCACCGTACATGTTTAACCTGGGAGGTCTTTTAACGAGCAGCTTTTCAAAGGAACCACCAAGCTGAGAAGCTGTAGACGCAAGGTGACAGGAGTTCTGACCTTACATGACAAATGTTACCACCAATGACACCATATTATAAGGAGGGCGTGGTAGTTAGGGTAGGAGAGGTGATCGCAGGTGCTGTCTCGTGTTCCCACACACAAGTGAAGTGACAGAGTTATGACACCGCATGTCAAGGGTTACTGCCTCTGACACTGTTTACACGGAGGCAAGTGATCTGTGAGTTGATACCCACAATAAATTTGAACGGGTTTATTTAAATTTTCCTCAAAAAAAATTGTTAGGGGAAGTAAATAAAAATGTTCGGGTCAGTAAATTTTAAGTCACTTGCCCGAGGCAAGTGTACTGTATATTCTACATAATATGAACAGCCTCTTTACATGTAACAATAATTGTATAAGTATTACTAGTCTTGGTGGTGTTCACAATGTTAGTGGTGGTAGTAGTTGTATAGTGGTGGTGGTGATCATGATATAGTAGTTGTGGTGGTAGCCATGGTGGTAATGGTCTGCATGGTGGCCATAGTGGTAGTGCCAATGGTGATATTGGTCATGGTGGTAGTGGTTATGGCTGGAAAAGAAATAATAGTGGTGGAAGAGTTAAAGTTTCATTGACTTGATAAAACCATTTTGGTGAACGATTTAAGGAATGACATGACACCAAGAGGCTGTGTGAGCACTTATATAACTGTTGTTGTTTTGTGATATTGTTGTCGTTGTTGTTGCAATGTGAAAACACTTATTGTTTTTCTGTGAGAACACTTCTGTTGTTATTCTGTTGGAACACTTGTTACTCTTGTTATTCAATAAAAACTCCTTTTTACTTTTAACCTGTGAGAAAAATTTTTCTTGATCATTCAAAACACTTATTACTGTTGTTATTCTGTGGGAACACTTGTTACAGTGGGGTTCTGTGGGAACACTTGTTACAGTGGGGTTCTGTGGGAACACTTGTTACAGTGGGGTTCTGTGGGAACACTTGTTACAGTGGGGTTCTGTGGGAACACTTGTTACTTACTGTTGGAACACCTTTATTCTGTTGTGATTGTGTGAAAACACTTTTTGTTACTGTGGATTTGTTGGAAATTTTGTTTTTGTTGAAGTTGGTTGGAACAGTTGTTACTGTTATGGCTCGGTTAGAACCCTGACTGTCTTTTTTTCTTTAAAAAGACTGAAATAGACAGAGGATAGGGATAAATGAAGAGAGAAGGTTATACAGAGATAGAAAGAAGAGAAGGGGTGAGATGGGAGGAGAGATCGAGATAAACAAAACCGACAGCGATAAGAGAAACAAGAAGGGCGGACAAGAAATTGGTGGTCTTAGGGAAGCGAACAGCCAGGGAGATAAGAGACACACAGAGAGATAACGAGATAACTAGTGGTGATGTTGACCTCCCTTGGAGACCATCAAACTTGACAACAACTGTCTTTAATTGAATCTTGATAAATTGTTTTATTATTTCTGAAACAATTTTACAGACTATAAGTATACAGGTAGGACTATAGTACTGTAGGTACAGTCAAAGTATAGATAAAGTTACAAGTAAAGGTATAGATACAAATACAGTTCTACATGCAACAACGAGTAGAGTAAGAAGTACTGCCACAGATAAAAGAACGATACAGACAGAAGTACAGGCAGAGATCAAGTACAGGCACACGCACTAGTACAGTTACAAAGTACAAGTAAAGGGGGGGGGGTCATGAACAGGCACAGATATTTCACCATGATCACAGTACACAAAGTTTACTTGAAACGTTTAAAAATTCAATATGTCATTCACGTTCACTACGAAGAACAGTGCTAACAAACATGTGCACATGAACAGAAACAGACACGCATTCACAAGTAGACACACACACACACACACACCCACACACTAAATAGGGACAATTGCAGACTAAGCTTTAATAAAGCAACTTTTTCTTTTCGCCAAATACCGATAACTTTTTCTTTTTATTACTACAACTAAATGAAAATTAGTTCGGATAAAGTAAATTATTCGGTTTCATTTAAAGCGCCGTTTATCTCCATAAGATAGACAAATTATACCTAAATTAAGTTAGGTTTTCTATGAAGCTATGCATTTGTATGTAGTACAGTATTTTTATCTATTTTATCGTCTATGACCCGCCAGAAGTTAAAAAATACATAGAAGTTATTTAGTGTGTTACACAAAATAGGAATAATTGCCAATTAGCAATAACTTATACTAATATATATATATATATATATATATATATATATATATATATATATATATATATATATATATATATATATATATATATATATATATATATATATATATATATTGGCACTGGCACTAGAGTAACATAATTTTCTAACTTACTTTATGATGACGTAGATGGTGAGTGAGAGGTGAGAAAGAGGGATTTGAAAGGTGAGAGATAGATTGACTCAGCCACAGCCTCGTCGTACTTGTTCAGTGACCAGAAAGGACTCGGCCAAGGTCCCCAAGTCGTCGCCTCGTGTTTATATAGGAGGGGTGTGCTCGGGGGTGTTACGTGCTGCTCCGCCCACACAGACAACATGATTGGTCAACGAATATCCCCTGCCCCTCCCACACCCCTTGATCTCCGCCCACATCAGACCACTATCCACTAGTGTTCGGCCCTAGGTTATACCCACTCCAGGTCAGGAAGTGCTGCCCACAAAAAGTAAAGTTTGGAGTGAATACTGAGCTAAATACGGTCGAAAGATTGGAGTTACGGTTTCACCTTTCCTTGTGGGTTTTCTTGGAGAGACAGAAAAGAGAAAGAGAGATGACAATACAAAAACATACACATCATTAAGTCACTTCTAACAATTTGTAATGAATTTGCTGCAAGATTTCTCTCAACCTCAGGTAAACTGTTAAGCTATGCTATCAGCTAAGTGATCTCATATATTTTACAGGAATTTCTTACTTGAGTAAGTTAAGCAATATTACGTCTAATACCCACTTAGTATTACCAGTATCGAAAATTACTATTTAGAGTGTATCGTGTTTAACTAATTAAAGAATAGATACCAAAGCTGATTAAATAAATTGTGAAAGCTTTTACAGTTTTAATATGGAAAATTGTTACAATAATTAGCCCTATCTATCGTTAATAGATTTATGCTTTGAAACAAGACAATGATGTGTCATGTCAATTATAAAAACTACGAACGTTCTATCAAACCTAAGTTTTGCAATACCATGCGTCTTTAAAAAATCTTAACTTTTATGATTAATAATTTGATATAATTTCTGAAAGTTGTGTACATTATATTAAGCAAACACTACTCAGTATTCTTCATCTTCAGTGAATCATTACGCAAGTTTCTCGTGGGGACGTGGTCAACCGTTCGGGTCTTCTCAGCCGCTGTTGATTCTTCATTTTTTTATTATTACTCCCATCTTTCTCATATTCTTTTCATCCACCCCTCTCCATCATTATTCTTTGCCTTCCCTCATTTCCATAATCTTCCCGTGGCACCGTTCAAAACGTGTACTGAATATCTCCATCTCGACACAACTGAATAATTATTATATCCGCTTGAATCAACGCCACAACTCACAAATATCCTACTGTCCAGCTGTGGCCCTAGAAAGAAGCTTATTCGTGTTGTTCCATAACCAATACATACATTATCATTTGAACACTAAAATAATATTTGTCCAGTTTCTTCTACAATATAGCATAAGGTGGTGTCTTACTTACTTTATTTACTCGTGTGCAGGCACTGTAGTTTAATTAAACGCGTCTCAATTTGTTCTTTACTTAATTGTACTCATCCATCTGTTACTGGGGATCCTTTTTTGTTATGTTAGTTAGGGGGAATGGAAAGAGATATCTGGCTAATTAAATTTATTCAACAAACACGTGATCTGAATTTATGTCTTATCCCTATTACTAACTAGAGATACCGAGGGGGGGGGGGAATTCACTATACACCCGTAAGATTTTCTTTTTTTGTTCTTTTTTTTTTACGGGGATTAGCCCACCCGGGCACAGGCCACTGACCATTGAGGCCTTGAGGGGCGAAAATGTAATAATAATAATAATAATAATAATAATAATAATAATAATAATAATAATAATAATAATAATAATAATAATAATAATAATTATTATTATTATTCATAGTAAATAAATTTTAATAAAATTACAAATTTAAAAATAAAACGATAATTCATGGTAAATAAAATTAATAATAAAATTACAAATTTAAAATAAAACAATAAAATAATAATAACAATCATAATAACAAGAACACTGTAATAATAATAAAGAACCATAAAGAAATATAAAAATTATAAGCAATCAAATGAGAAACGATGTATGTATGTTCTGTTATCAAACGAAGAGAAATAATTGAGACCCTGCAATTGTGTGTAAATGAGGCAGAAAATCAGATCAGCAACCTGGGACTTGGTCACAATTTTTTTGATGTCATATGGCAGCAGGGTCTACCATTAGACAACACAATATGCTTCCAATATCTTCCCAGAGGGTAGTACCTCCCTGTTTGATAGCTGCCTACTACCTATACCAGAGAAAATATTCAATCAACCTTACCGTGCCCAGTGCGGTCGTCGCTAGCTCACGCAGATGCCGCCCACCCTACAAATACATCTACCATCCGTAGGGAGCATATTCTGAATGTCCAATGAGAGTCTGTTTTTCAAAGATTATTTAAGCATTTTTTCCACAGATTGGGTAGTTCACAATATGTCACGTCAGTTCTATGGGCAGAGCTATCTTCGTGGCACTTGGGGCCAATTGCAAGAACGGTTAGGGGGTGTACGACGCCATTTACGATGACCTTCTTGCCCTGGTCTTTTTCAGCAACATCGCCCTTAACACATGGAATTCTGCACTTTTCGAAGCTTTGGAGGAGTCTCGAAACAAGTTTCCTGGTGGGAATTATTAGCTAGTGCTGTACTCAAAATATCGAAACTTCGAGATCTCTCCAGAGCTTCATAAGGGTGGTATTCCTGAAACAAGATCAGGGCAAGAAGGTCATCGTAAATGGCGTCGTACACCCAACGACTGTTCTTGCAATTGGCCCTTGGTATAGGCAAGGATCTGGTACCTTCGAGGGGATAACGAATGGTGACAAATGAGGGTAATTGTCGCTTAACAGACACTGTAAACACACAGGTCGCCACAAGTTCACAAGTTAATTTTCAAGTTCCCACTGTAACGGTTGGCTGGTTGGCTCTCCTGGGTATAGGCGTGCGTGGGCGTCCCTTTTAGTACAACAAATTAGACCGAGGTCCTTTTTTGTACCCCAGCCTTTGGGCACTCGGCAATATATGGATACTGTGCACTGTCAGATGCGCTTGCCGATGGTGGAACAACCCCCGGGTGTATTATCATCCTGAAAAGTGGGTTGGGTAATCCACTCGGAGCTGAATACTATCAGGGGATCAGCACCACTCTGGAGGATTGTACTTATTTATGTATCATAAATCAATTTGGTCAAAACAAACAATAAGTCTAGATAATATAATATATTAGAAAAAAAAGTTTAATGTGAAATTACGCTTCATTTCCTCTGGCCACATTTCGGAAACCCAACCAGTTATTCTTGACACCTAATCTTTTTACAAAGTTTCAGTGAGATTTATCTACTTGTGACATTAATCACTCTGTCCTAATATGAAAGGATGTACAAAAACATACACAGCTTAATAACATTATACTTTTCTTATGACATCTAAAATATATTGCTTTACACACTCATTGGACCTTACTATAAATCCGGTATTTATCTATTATATGTAATATTGGAATGTTAATATTTTGTATACTCAAAAGATTTTGTTAAGTGTGTCACAGCTCTGAGGACCAGGCTTTGAACTAGCATATTTGAGACAAATTATTACAGTATATACAATGGTTTTCTTGTTAAACATACATTATTACTATTAGTTATCGTTATAACTATTATCAATATTATCTTATTAGATTATTTGTACTCTTTTATCACAAAACTAATGTGTAATATATATATAATCACTATTAATTAGAATCCATTTCCTCAAAAATTAAGAAGTAAGAGTTTAGCTGAGATTTCTGCCGTGCTCTTGAACGACGATAATACAGTAATGGAAAAGGTAGAATGAAGTCGAAATTGTATTGCTACTCAGCTTAGTTACCTCTTATTACAGAAAATATAGTAATAAAACATGTGTGCACACCGGGGGAAGGGGATGGTACATTATGGTGGCAGTGTCCGGCAGTGACTCCCTCAACACTAGTAACACATTTTACAAAGCACTTGTCTCCCATTAACGACATAGTGAAAAAGATACACCTACCCATTATGAATGTCACTGCTGTCTTTCATTCACCTTAAGTTTCTGGTTCTCATACCCAACCTCATGATTATTACTAAAAGTTGATGTCGTCAAAAAGAGACTAAATTATAGATACAAATTTTAAATAAAAATAAAAGTTTCGTGAAACTGTTCAAACTATGTCTGAGAAATCTTCCCAGAACAAAGACCTTTGTCACGGAAACATTGCCAACACGGGGCCATAGCCGGAACAGAGAGAATTTATTTATTTATTCATTTTTTAAGGGGATTAGCCCACCTGGGCACAGGTCACTGACTCACATCGGGGTCTTGGGGGCGAAAATGTAATAATAATAATAATATTATTATTATTAATATTAATAATAATAATAATAATAATAATAATAAAAATAATAATAATAATAATAATAATAATAAAAATAATAATAATAATAATAATAATAATAATGATAATAATAATAATAATAATAATAATAATAATATTTTTTTTCTACGGGGATTAGCCCACCAGGGCACAGGTCACTGACCCACATCGGGGCCTGGGGGGCGAAAATGTAGTTATAGTAGTAGTAATAATAATAATAATAATAATAATAATAATAATAGAGGACCTGGTGAAATATTTATCAAAATAAGGGTATTTTTTAACATTTATCTGAGTAGGAGCATTATTCAAGGAAAATCTGACTAATCATCTACTTTCCTAAGGGATAGTTTGGTCCAACATACGTTAGATGTTCTCCTGGGATACGAGCCAGTGAGAAACCAAACCAAAATCCGGATTCACAATGACTGTATACAGGGCTCACACCATTATGGAAGATACACTCAAGCTTCAGCTTATGGCAGCCAATTAGATGCTTAAACCTCGTCATGACGGGTATTAAATGTTGAGACATCTGAGAATCTGACCCAGGCATTCACTTGGGTACATAGTCTTAATACTGTATGGACAAGACCGAGCTTAATATTGATTATTCCAAGTGTCACGTCGTCAAACATAAAATAAATTTTATATACGAGTTTGTTTGTATTGATTCCTTAAAACAATAAAATCAACATAGTTATTTAACTTACATCTCACACTAAATCAATCACTAACATACATACAGTATATACTCATGTATGTATACACATAATATAAAGGTTGCCCCTCCTGTTCAAGAATGGCCGACCTTAGGGCCACTTAGGCATGAATTTGTTTAAGACTTGAAGATGTTTTCTCCCAAATTGTAATTATAATCAGCTCCCACTCGGGTAGCCAATGACAGATTGTGACTCCTTTGTGTGGGACCAGGATGGATCCTCCAGTGCTTGGAAGGTTTCCAATATTAGGCATGCGTGTTTGGTGTTCTATTTGTTTTCTCTATCTTCATGTTGTACTATTTTATTAAATGTAAATATATGCCTGTTCTTGTGCAAATTGTACATCCGTTTTTCAGTTTACCAACAGTTTATTGATTTGAATGGGGCATTTTAGTCAGTTTTAAGGCTCCCAGTGCCACCAAGGAGCTGGTCTTTCACCTTTTTTATCTGGCTATATGCCCTGAACAAAACGTTAGTAATTAAAGAACCCCAACTTAGTCAAGATGTTTGTGTTTTCCCCGGTTCTCATCTTCATTATGAAACTACGCTTTCCACGTAACAAGTTCATTGCTAAATATAAATATATATATATACTGTATATATATATATATATATATATATATATATATATATATATATATATATATATATATATATATATATATATATATATATATATATATATATATATATGTGTGTGTGTGTGTGTGTGTATGTGTGTGTACAGTATATGCCTGGTATTTATCACATTTTATCTCGTACAGCAGCCGGATAACTTGTCTCGTAGTTAACCCGGGTACACAAATACTGTAGGAAGGATGAACGTCTGGATCTAGCTGAAGCAGTGGTTCTTAACCTTTTTGGAGATGCGCCCAACCTCCCGTGATCACCGTTGAACACATGGTGCCCCTCCCTCTGATCCCCAAAGGGCCAAAGAACACAGGTTCATGGCCTTCATTGTCTTTATAGATCCAAATAAACAAACTTAATACAAATATAATATTTCTAGAACTTCAATTATATTTCATCTGGAATTAATAGAAGGGTATTTGGAATCGTGGTGGGTAGAGGAAGGAGCACACTCCATGTTATTTTCGACATTCAGACTGTTCCGATACTTTGTTTTTGCAGTAACAAGCATTGACAAGCCTGTCTCACAAAGGTACTTAGAAGAAAAAGGATCAATCGCTCGCAATGCTTGCTGATTAAGGTTCAGGTAAACAGGCCAATATTTTACCCAATATTTTAAGTCAGAAATATGTTCAATATTTTGTACCCCCCCACCTAAAACATTGAAAGACCCCCAGGTTAAGAACCACTGTCGCAGAACCAACACTGGATTCCAACGGAGCAGCCGGCACAGTTACCACAGTTGGCACAGTACATTCCATGACCACAGTCATCGTTCTCCCACCATTCTCCTCCACACCTCTGTCCGGGGCCCTGCAACGATGATACAATGTTACAATGTGGTAAAGTGATACAACACTTCACTGGTAGAGGTGAATTATAGTACTGTGGTATAGGAAGTGTGGTACCGTGGTGAAATAAGATATAGTGTGACTGATTTAGTGTCAAATCACTTGTCTTCTTAGGTCCCCGTGCAAATTTTAAAAGGTCTCAAACCTGTGTGTGTGTGTGTGTGTGTGTGTGTGTGTGTGTGTGTGTGTGTCAGTTCATGAACATCATACAATATCTAAAAAATTATTGGCCTAGTTAAGTGTTTACATCAGGGGTACAAATTTATCATTAAACTCTTTTTGAAGGGGGGGGGGCGTGTTTGTATGTAAAAAAGACGTCTATCATGAGTCTATCTGTCCAAAAACATGTCATCCCAGCTTTTAACCCTTGAATTTTTGCACATGTTTAAGCTAGCATGATATATTTTCTCAAACTAATAGACAATGTAATCATCTCCATTATACATATGCACAGAGGCGCCGAAAATGAACAGTATCGAGCATTAATAACACACATATGTGAACGATACTCTGATATTGTGAAATGCGTTTTTACCTTTAAAGTTAAGAGAAATGTTTAATGAGAGATCTTTGACAATAAGAACTATGAATTATAATGTTTGTTACAACTTAACCATGTGCAATTATTATTATGTTAACTAACAGCATTTTAATGATTACTTGTCAAATCATTATTATTAAGGGTGTTTTCTTAGTTTTATTAGCATCATATCAATTATCAAAATTATAACGATAATCATCATTATTTGATAAGGTGGTAGACGTACCTTAGCACAGACATTGTTGCCACACCAGTCTTGGAAGGAACCATAATCGCAATCGGTGGGTTCCGTCCTGGTGCCGTGACCATCACAACTTGGTGCTGCCTCGGAAATACTGCAGAGAAAATAGACATAGTCATCAGACTGCGAGATAAAGACATCGTTTATAATGTTCAGTAAGGGTTGTCTGAGAACGCTACTGGTGTACATAACACAACAAACATCACGGGATATATTCATTATTCGACAAGAAAAAACGTATTATACAAAAGAGTTTCTGTATCACCCACATTTTGCTAACTCTATATTAGTAACCCCTAAACTTTGACCTGTAACGATGACGCCAACAAAATGCACCTTCGCTCACGTATTGAATCATCCAATAATCTTAATAGTTTTCTATCACTATCTTTCAGTTTATGAAATCTGAAATAAAGCCAAGAAAGAAAAAACACAGGATGATCACTGATTCTCAAATGTTTGTATTCAATATTTCCTAGGACCCAGTGCAACAATACCAGATACCCTCACCACCCTATTGTTGTGTCTAATATCACAAAAAAAAGTTAAACGTGGAATCTCAAACACAATAACAGGTATGGTACTCTAAAGTTGGGGCTTCCGAGGTTCTCTGGATAGGCTCGATGGGGTTTAAAACAAAAAATATTGAGAATGATGAACATCACTAAAGGAAGCTGACTGAACACTCGCTTGTTTGAAAGGTGATGAACAGTTACACCTCTCTGCCTTGTCTGCCAATTTTGGTCATTATTTTCCAGAAAAGAAGTTTGAAATTTTAAAAGAAAAATTCTGGGTAAAAGAAAAATTCTGGGTTGAGGTTGACACCTGAACAAGAAAATGAGTTGCTCCATCTCACATGTGACAACAAGGCTTCAAGAATCAAACTTTGTTATCATTCTGGACTAGCGTTTCAATCCACCCTTAATTAATTAATACAAGTACATATATTATACACCTGCATATATTTTTTTAGACCTTGCAACCCAATGGATAGCATCCCGTGAACCGTACTTTGAAGAGCAGGATTTGACCGTCTGAGGCTCTGTCTGTTTTGCTGTTGTGGTAGTGTGTGTGTGTCGGTACACATGTGTTTATACACACGTTCTTGTACGTATAATGGAAGCCTGTTCTTGAGATTTTGTTTATGGTCTCTTCCTCATGGCATACACCTCATGTATCCACTTTATTCCTATACAGTATGTTACCTACATCCAAAAATTACCTTTACTAATACAGTGCATGACTATAATTATGAGGTAGGGCTAAAGCAGTGAATTATAAAGCTCTATCATTACGTATTTTATGTCTTCGTGGAGTAAACAAGAGAAAGAAAACGAAGACAAGAGACTAACTATTTAGGCTTAAAAGATATTGAAAAATTATTATATTTTGTATACTTACTTAAAGAAGAAGATGGAGACGATGACAATGGTGAAGAGGATGTCGGATCTCATGGTGACGGTGGTGACGACTGTGGAGGATAATGTAAGATTTTTTTTTATTGTGTAATAGTAGTGATGACTGGAATTTGACCACCACAACACACACACACACAAGTTGCAAGGTTTGTACCAGATGTGACAGCTCGGTTATCAGTAAAAAAAAAATTCATGCGTCATAATTTCCCCAAGACTCATTGATGGTGGCCTTAAAATTGCACATGGAAAGAAGTCTTAAAATTAACACTAACGCTACCTGAGATAGGGGAGGGGGTAGGTTGTCGCTGTCGAGAGAGCTTGAAGAGTTCGTTAAAAAAAATCAACGCTACGGTGGATTTATTATGGGTAAAAACTCTAGTGTAACTGCAGCTTCAATAATGGTCAATAATGTTGTCATAGTCATAGTGTTGGGAAATATTAGTAAAAATAAATAAAGACTCGAACATAAAGTAGTTACAGCAAATTCAACAATACCCATGAGGCTTCAGTACCATAAAGACGATACCTCAACCTAAATGGGAATCAAAGGACGATGAAAAGTAATAAAAAAAAACTAATTTATTCAGGTTTCACATATCAGAGTTGTCCTCAACCTATAGATGGGATTACTTAGAAGTCATTCAGAAAATTATTTAGGTATAAAGCACGGGTAGAATAATTCACATGTTGTCTTAGTATATATCATAAAGATGTTACCTTAATCTATACAGTACACTTACCTATACACGGTATATCAGATTACTACAAGTCAAGATGAATTTCACTTCAAGGTTAAGACTATAGGATGATAGTTCCGTTTCCCTGTCGGTCTGTCTGGTCTGTGTCTGTGTCTACTGATTCACATGTCTCTTAATACTCAGATAATTACAAATGAAGGTCAGATGGTCAATATTAAAGATCAAATGGTTAAGTTTTAAAGGTCATATGACTAGAACGTAAAAGGTGACGGGGTTAAAATAAAAAAGTCACGGGTCAAAATCCAAAGATCGTGAGGTCAAATTCGAAAGGTCACGGAGTTAATATTGAATGAATGTATTACTGTACTGAGTTACGCAATAGAACCATTTATACTGTGGACCCACGGAAGAAAAATCCTGGATAGAAAGACAGACAGAATTATAGAGAAACAGAAAATAATAGACAGAGTGAATTATAGAGAAACAAAGAAGGGGAGGTTAAGAGAGAAACAGAAAGTAGGAACAAACAGAATAACAGAAACAGCCAGACAAAGAAGTTGAGATAGAAAATGGGAAGACTGACAGTAATTATAAGGAGACAAATAAACAAGTGAAAAATGGAATAAAGAAAATAATAGGATAACAAAGACAGCCAGCCGAGAGAGAGAGAGAGAGAGAGAGAGAGAGGAAGGCGGAACAGACCCCAGCAACAAGGCTGCAGCACCGAGGCCACAAGGATGACACAACACCCTACCCTCCTCCTCCCTCCCTTCAGGCCAGCTGTGGTTGTCACTGTACCTCACTGTTACTTGATCATGTCCAAAACGTGTTGTGCGTGATGATCGAACCAGTTCGGTTCGTGGATTTGTATGTCTGACTGTCCACACAACAGCGTTCATATTCTCATCATTACAATATTCTCACAATTGGTCGGCCTACATAGCAGTAAGGCTAGTATGGTTAGTCAAAACGGTCAATGGTCAAGTCACCGATGAAGTGAGACTACTGTAGTGCTAAGCGGACGTTATATTACTGTGCTTCAACAGTTAAGGTATTTAAGCGCGTTAATATGGTAAATAACGGAGACAGAACTCTCTGTACACACTGAGCTACCACAGCAATGTAATGATGATGTTTAAACAAACGTTGTATAGCTTTCTATTATACAGTACCTTAATTTGCCTCTTTGTATTGCAGATGTTCTCCTAATATTATCTTTCTTTGACAAAAACGTTGGTGCGTTTTAAGGCTTAATTAGGCAATTACCCCTATTTAGCATAATCAAATATATATTTACCACTTATACTACAAGGCGTTGTACCAACAGACGCAAGGCTCGTCATACATACCTTGTGGTGTTGAAGGTAATCGCTGTAGTGGCACGTGTTGTTAACGTTTGATGGGTGACGTGTGGAGCAGTTACGTTTATGTCTGAAGTTAATTGTCAACAATTATGGCTGAATATAATTATTGATGTATATAGCTTTTAAAATGACGTTAATTACTGTTGTTTAATGATAACGTTAATTGCGGACGTTTATGGCTAACGTTGTGTTGATTATAGATGACCTTAATTGCTGGCGTTTATAAATTATTTTTGGGGTGACGGTGGTGTCAGCTGACGTGCAATAGCACCTCCGTGTTACGGCTGTTGGTTCTCACTGCAGAAGTAGGACTTGATCAGCCCAATCAAGTGTAGAGTGGAGTGGTGTTGTTAGGCTTACTGGTCACTTCGCCTTTTGTCTATTTCGGCCAATCAAGTGCGTCCTGCTGCATTATATACCCAGAGTGACACATGTTGCCCCGCCCACATCCTTGCTCCTCATTGGTCGAGATGTCCCACTGCCCCGCCCTTTCCAGCCCACCCCACCCACTGCCAGACCAAAGGGTACGCCCATCCATGTCCTTGCAAATGCACAAGCATCAATTATCCTTGTTTTAGCGTTGCAAACTCATCTTAATTTTTCAATTATCCTTGTTATGGTGATGCAACCTAATCGTTATATAATTCTTGCTGCTCTGATAAGACTGTTCTGGTATGATCTTGTTTTCACAGCTTAGCAGAAAAAAATTTCGTTTCCGCAGCTTCAGCAGGTAGAATGATTTTGCCTCCTCAGCTTCAGTAACGATTTGTTGCTTCTACAGTTTCACCAGGTAGATTGGTCTAGCTTTCACAGCCCTAGTAGGTAAACTATTTCTGCTTATATAGCTTCCGGCTGACTATTCCACTGGTCAATCACTAAATGTGAATAAGTTTTTTCTAGTACAGGTTATCATTTATGAATTAACTTTTCAAGCTGGAAGCTTTGGTCTCTTATTTGTGCAATATTAGACATTTTGAAAAAATAGTCAAGGTTTGATTTCCAAGTTGTAAGGGATTCTGTCTCAAGATCTGTCAGTTGAGTCTTGTCTAATGGGTGGTTATGTCCCAAAGCCCATTCCCTATCCGAATAATAAAAATGTTTTACAGTTGGCCTAGAGTACTCTCTCCAGGGATGTAGTCTCTCAGCAGGTATGGTTTCCATACTTAAAAACTTCCCAGACCAAGAGGAAGCAGGTAGCTACCAAACAGGAAGGTACTACCGCCAGTGAAGATACTGGAAGCATAATGTGTTGTCTAATGGTAGACCCTGTTGCCATATGGCATCACGAAAATTGTGACCAAGTCCCAGGTTGCTGATCTGACTTTCTGCCTCATTTACACACAATTGCAGGGCCTCAATTGTTTCTCTTACTTTGACAACACAACATACATACTGTATATTGTTTCTCATTCTTGATCTTTTTTTTTTCATTTTTGTATTCTTTATGGTTCTTTATTATTATTATTATTACATTTTCGCCCCCAGGCCCCGATGTGAGTCAGTGACATGTTATCAGCGGCTTATTGAAAAATTCTGACCGGTGAAATCAGTTGTTCTTTACTGCGCAGTGGGCTGATTGCCAAGCGTCTAGCTGGCCTCTTGATAAACAAATTACATTTATAATGGCTTACTTTTGATAAGAACAAAAACAGCTACAAATAAAAGCCTCAGTAACACAGCCAACAGTCAAACTGTCTATTTACTTAACAAGTAAAAAAAAAAGTGATACTAACGCCTGTTAATACGTACAAAAAAATTGTGGAGAGAAGACTGATCGATATGTATAAACATGTTCATACAGTTGTAATACAGTGCATACTATGTACACATTTTGAGACATCAGATAACTTCAATACAAGTGTACACTATCTAACTTAACGTAATGCAACTTAAATTAACTTATCCACGTCTAACTTAACCTTATTAATCATGGTAACAATAATTCAGGATATGATTCTTTGAACCTTGAAGTTTGGACATGACTGTTCGAAGTCGTAGGCAGAGAGTTCAAAGTGAAGACAAATGTTGGAAGTGTTTTCCTGAAGCTAAACGATTAACAACCTTCCTCAGACTTCCTTCCAAGTTCTTCACTGGGTCAAGGTCGAGGTCTTAGGCATGAAGAGGGAAAGATGTTCATGGGAGAGAGGTTAGTGGGAGGGATGTTTGTGGGAGAGATAGATGTTCATAATCTACATAAACGATCTAAATACTGGGATCAGCAGTGACATGAGCAAATTTGCGGATGACACCAAAATAGGACGGCAGATTAATTCAGGGCAGGATGCAAATGCACTACAGGAGGATTTAAATAAACTGCAGGAGTGGTCAGAAAAATGGCAAATGAAATTCATCACCAGCAAGTGCAGCGTACTTAATAGTGGAAGAACAAATACTGTCAATGTATACAGAGCCTTAACAACATCAACCTAGAGAGGTCGACTTGTGAAAGAGACTTATGGGTATTTGTAAGCCCGGACCTACGGCCTAGAAAACAGTGCGTTAATGTTCGAAATAAGGCAAACAGAGTATTGGGTTTTATATCTAGAAGTGTAATTAATAAGAGTGCGGAGGTCATATTGCAACTACACTATATTTTGCGCTAGTCAGGCCGCACCTCGATTATGCTGTTCAGTTCTGGTGCCCTTATTATAGAATGGATATCAATTCACTGAAGTCGGTGCAGCGAAGAATGACAAAAATGATTCCGGGACTTAGAAACCTTCCATATCACGATAGATTAAAGAAACTAAACTTGCATTCCCTAGAAAAACGAAGAATGCGGGGAGCTATGATAGAAGTATTTAAGTGGGTGAAAGGAATCAGTAAAGGAGATATAGATAAAGTTCTTATGATATCCGAGCAGGATAGGACTCGTAGCAACGGATTCAAGTTGGATAAGTTTAGGTTTAGCAGGGAGATAGGAAGGAACTGGTTCACAGATAGAGTTGGTAGTTGAGTGGAATAAGCTTGCCAAATTTGTAGTAAGTGCTGGAACGCTGGAAAGTTTTAAAAGGAGGCTAGATAGATTCATGGATGATAGAGAGTGGTTGTAACTCTAGACAGGAGCTGCCATGCACAGGCCAACCGGCCTATTACAGACTCCTTATTTTCTTATGTTCTTATGTCGTGAGAAGAGTCATATAGCAACAACCATGGTTGATAAGTATGACCTTGTCCCGACTGTTATCTTAAGCAGTGTTCTCAACGCCCCTCACACAGCGGGAGCCAGCCATGTTTATTTACACATGTGCCTGCGCCACGTGACACGGTAAATGATAATACTGTTAATAATAGTAATACTGTACTAACAGTAACGAAACGATAATAATAATATCCGTAATAATAATAATATTAATAATATTATTAATAACAATAATAATAAGTAACTTGTAGCAGAAGTAGTAGTACTGTCATAGTAGCAGTAGCAGTACCGGTAGTCGTAGTATAAGAACTGTATTAATGACAATATTGATATTTTTATTTGACTTGATATTACAAAACAAATGCCTGCATTAATAAAACTTATACCAGCAAGAGTGCTTGGTATTCCCAACCAGAGACTGTTAATATACCGTATGCTTCCCCATCTACTACCTATACAAACTTTAGTTCACACAAGATCACAGTAGGTTACACATTTCCTAAAGAATGGTACATATTTTATTGCCTCCTGTTGATTTATATCTCCCCAAAACATTGAAGTTTTTATACATGTATAAATTCATGGTTTCGATTGTCATGACAGCGATTTGAGGCTCATTAGAGTTAGATACACTTTATACCTCTCCTTCACACACACACACAGCCCTGTAAATGTATTGAACGCAAATCATTATGTCTAAATCACATGTAAGATTGTATATTTTCAGCCACTGACTGCAACTCTATTAATAAACCGTTTATTATTATTATTATTATTATTATTATTATTACACGTCCTCGTATTCGGGGATGGCCGTTCCTTGGGTCACCTATAGGCGTAAATTTAAGTATAGAAGCTGTCGCCAACACAACAATCACACCGATGTTAACGAGCTGTATGACCCTGTATGACCCAGAGTCAAAGAATAATCCAAGAAGACCGGACAACTCACCAATTGCACTGGCTAACTATTACCCCACAGCACGATCTTCAAATCGATTAACATCCAGGTCACCAATTTTTTTGGGGGTAGGCAGAGGCAAGTGGCGTACAGAAACTTGCCCATAGTTTCAGCCTGCTCGGGTATCGAACCTGGGTCTACTCGCTTGCGAGGCGAGCATGCTGACCATGTACGCAAATATGCACACCCTCACGTGTAGACAAAATAAAATAAAAATTACGTGTGCGCACAATCCAAAACAAAATTGCAGGCTCTGAAACTATAGTTCGACCCCTTAACTTAAGCACTTGTTATTAGATCAGAGGCCAAGTAGTATGAATGACTTCACAATTTTAAGGCAATGAAATAGACGCCAATATCAGCAGTTAGTACCATGGAGATTCGAGCAGTGTCGCCGGATCAGTGTACAGTGCCTCCCACCATGACTAGTCATTCCGTGACTGGGAAAATGACTAAAGAATGGGCAACGTTGGGTGGTCAACCAGTTTGAAACAGTGTGTGTTTGTGTGTGTGTGTGTGTGATACGATCATGGAAAGTGACCAGATGACATCTTGTATGAAGCAAAATGATCAACAAACATGCAAATCGTAAAAACGACAAGGCGAGGATGAGATAAACGTTATCTCAAAACTATCATATATATATATATATATATATATATATATATATATATATATATATATATATATATATATATATATATATATATATATATATATATATATATATATATATATATATAATGAAGTGGTCGAAATTAGAGAGTTCGGATACAGAGATAGAGTCAGAGGAAACAAATAAACTGTAAAAGCAACAACCATCATTATTTTACACACACACACACACACACACAGGATCTCCTGCACTCAACAAACGCACAGCAGTGCTCCCTGGCACAGCCCACTACACACCCTGCCTACGTTACTGATTAATTATCACACACACACACACACAAACTGTAGTTTGAGCTGATCCCCATCTAAGTTATTATATGTCTTATTTGTGTCACTTATGTTACTTGTATATTATTTGTAATTCGTAACCCATTCCCCAAATATGTAACTGTATATTTTCAGCCTTCTGGCTGCCAAGCTCTTTCAATAAACCGTTAATTATTATTATTATTATTATTACACACACACACACACACACACTTACTTTCAATGATCACTGTTCTAGTAGTAACTCACCGTGCCACTGTCCTTGGACTAGCTCAGCCATGGTGTCAGTGCTGCTCAACACACTTATATCAGTTGACCTCTGACCCAGTTC